TGTTTTAGCGTTTCTCTGGTCTTCCAATAGGAACCTGACATAGTGAGCCTCTGATTTTCCCGGGAAAGGTACCAGCAAGGGTAATATCAATTCAGCCCTGGCTTGCTCATATTTTGCACAGTGCAACAAAATATGTTTTATGGAATCGATGTCTTGAGCACACGAGCAAAGTCTGTCCTGGTAGGGAACTCCATACGATTTCAAAAGAAATATTGCTCAAGCACTAGATTATTGCAAGGAGTGTAGCCTGTACTAAATCCTGCAAGGAGCTCTGTGATATAATTTCAGCCATCAACATCAGGAAAAACAAAGGTATTGTCCCCAACACAGCTCAACAAAATGTTTACCTGCCATTCTTAGGTGCCTTATCAACTCCAGTATCAGTGAGATATAGCTGAAAACCTTACTCCTAACATTTCCAACTAAATTTCATTGTAAAAGTAGCAGAGGCAAAGGCTGTAATATCTACTAAAAATGTTGGGGGGGGGGGTTACATCAATAATCAAATAATAGATCTTATTCTAACTGCCCCTGCTAAAACCTTGCAGTTTTTGCTGTCACCTGATCATCTTGATCTGCTAAAAGAAAGGACACAGTGGCAATGGTTGAGCGACCGAGCATAGACAATATTGGAAGGTTAATCACCTCATTCCTCCAATCTTTATAGAGTGCAGGCCAGAAGCACATGAGCCACTGACTCAATACTGCCATTTCCACAGGGACATAACCGTTTTTCTAGTGAATTTCTTTGAAATCGACCCTCAAGTACAGCCAAAGGCAGTATATTCAATCTAGTGAAAGTGAAAGCGCGTCTGTATTTTGGAATTGTTAAATTTTGCAAATAGGTTGCCAAACTGTCAAAATGACTAGGTGGCCTAGCTTCCAGTCATGTGTTATATCTTTTCCCTCAACTGATATTTTTGTGCAATATAGTAATTCTTTCAGAGATCCCTTCATAGAGCATATTTATGAGATTTTCTCATTCTTTCTTTCCATATTTCCCCAATACTACATGGGTTCAGAAAAACAATTTTTTTGTCCTTTATCAGTCATGTCACTCTTTTTCTACAGCTGCAACATACATGGAAGTCTTTACAAAGTGTAGTTGGAAGGCTCATTGGTCAATATAACTGCAAAATAATTTTTATCTACACAGATAGGCTATTTTCTATTATTGCTGCTGTTTGGCAAGATTAGACATTTACCGCCAGTTTGGGGGGAGAAGCAATAGCAGTCCGGCCTCAGCCTCAGTTGACTTTGGATTCCCCACTCACCCCACTCCATGATTTAGGTATGGTCTGCCCTAAGATAAGTGTATAACATCTTGCTATGGAAGCCTTAGGCCGCCATATTCAGGACAAAGGAGGAATTTGCCTTCAGAAAAATTTGGCTTGTCTGGGGTTTTTCCTACCTCATAGCAATTGTCACAACTTGATGGCGGATAAGACATTGGGTTGGATCCTCAATGTAGATGGACAGGAGGTCAGGAGCACCCACCACTACAAGGAATCAGGGTATCCCATTAAAAGGATCCAGGGGAGAACGCCCAGATGGTGATCTCAGTGGGATGCCCCAATTTGATGTATGTCAAAGGGTGATCCTTAACCTTGGTTAACCCTGCCAAATAATCAGCCAGCAGACGGGCTAGTTGATTCAAGATACATACCCAACGCTTGTACCAAAACCTACTGACATCTGTAATCAATAAAGTTGTGGCCTGTGGTTGTCCTGTGTTTATTACTAATTCACCATGCCTTGGCCCTACCGCCCACAGCTTCACTGTGCCTGGAGCCACAATCTTCTTCAAAATGCAACTTCTTCAAATCTTGTAAATTCCAGGACTATCTCTTAAAATGAGATCTGGCTTGTAGCGAGTATGAACGGTAGTTTTACCATAAAACTGTAAACATGGTTGCACTGTCCAGCTGATTCTCCCAAGCCTATTATATAATCCCTTACATCACTCCCATGTCTCCAGGTTTCATTTTTCACTGCAGTTTCTTGTATGCTATTCTGGACAGTGTCCTTAGAATCCCTGTAAAGCAGCTGGAGGTTCAGCTGGTGGGGCCAGACTCAAACAGTTGCTCAGCAGTGAAAACAATTTCTCTGTAGATTGGGGTGCATGTAGCCCTGAGGATTTTTAAACCCATCTATTCAAATACCTGGACCATAAAGAAGGCTGATCGCCGAAGAATTGATGCTTTTGAATTATGGTGCTGGAGAAGACTCTTGAGAGTCCCATGGACTGCAAGAAGATCAAACGCATCCATTCTTAAGGAAATCAGCCCTGAGTGCTCACTGGAAGGACAGATCGTGAAGCTGAGGCTCCAGTACTTTGGCCACCTCATGAGAAGAGAAGACTCCCTGGAGAAGACACTGATGCTGGGAAAGATGGAGGGCACAAGGAGAAGGGGGCGACAGAGGACGAGATGGTTGGATAGTGTTTTCGAGGTTACCAGCATGAGTCTGACCAAACTGCGGGAAGTAGTGGAGGACAGAGATGCCTGGCGTGCTCTGGTCCATGGGGTCACGAAGAGTCGGACACAACTAAATGACTAAACAACAACAACAACAAAAATTCAAATACCACCACCTACAGGATCAGACTCATGTATGAAATGAGTTCAAAAGCTGGATGAACCTTGGAATATCGTAACAATTCAGCTGAATCCAGAATCAAACTGGGCTCATTCAGCACGATTTGGATCTGGGCCAAGGCAAGTCATCACACCTCCGGATCAGTCCTGAGCAGGTTCCATGAATCTGAATTTATTCAGAGTGCTTTGGACCGATCCAAAGCTCAAAACACTCTCTAAGGAAGCCAGGAAGGCTGTCTCCAGAAATAGCCCTCTGGGGCCCCCTCCCCAGTTGACCAGCAGTGCTATTAGAAGTGTGAGCAGACTCCCAGCAGGGCTGGGAGGAAAGAAAGACAGAGAGTGTGGTTGAAAGTTGCAGGAAGGGGGAAAAGGAAGGAAGGAAGGAAGGAAGGAAGGAAGGAAGGAAGGAAGGAAGGAAGGAAGGAGGAGGAAAAGCAGTGAGTGGAGAGAGAGGGGCATTAAGGCACACAGACTGACAGACTGATGGAGGAGGTAGAAGGAGAGGGGATGCAGAGCAGAACAGACTTGACCCTGCTGGTTATGGAGGAAGTCACTAGCAGAGTGTGAAAGGTGACGAAAAGCAAACTTTTGAGCTTCTGGTCCATGGTCTCTCCTGCCTTCAGAGGCGCTGATACTTCTTCTCGCCAAAGGTGCAAGGGAGCTTCTGAAGACAGCATCCTGTAATTTGCCAGGATCCACTCCATTAAACAGCACCTTGTAGATGACATGATACTGATGATGTGTCAGTCATCAGCTCTGCTACCATGTAGGCTCAATAATAAGCCCTTCTCTGCAGTGGCGTAGCGTGGGTTGTCAGCACCCGGGGCAAGGCAAGTAATTTGCGCCCCCTAACCCGTGGATTTGCGCCCCCTAACCCGTGGATTTGCGCCCCCTAACCTGTGGATTTGCCCTAACCCCAGATGTTGCGCCCGGTGCGGCCGGCCCCCCCTGCACCCCCCCACGCTACGCCACTGCTTCTCTGGGTTTGTGACACTTGTGCTGTGCCTAGAAAGCATGCGTCTGAATGTTTTCCTGCTTGGCCCACGCTTTCTAGGTATGGGTTTGAGTGGTTTTCCCTTGCCCAGCTCTTTTCCAAGGGAAAACCTGAATTGCAGTTCCCTTCAATTGAATGCTAAAGAGTGGTTTTCCCCAGGTGAAAACAGTGGAACAAGGGGAAGTGTGGATAAACTGATGTGTTCCTAGAATTCATATCTTCTACAGTAACTCTCTCTCCCTGCTTCCATCACTGTCCCTCTATTTCCTGGAAAACCAGTTGGCTGAGCCGGATCTGCATCGTGTGAGAGGCGCTTGGGAGAAATCATGTCACCTAAGGAGCCCACAAGCCATCTAGGACATCAGCTCCCATAGGAGCATCAGGAATCCCTCTGATTCTATTAGCCTTCTGTGGAGGACTAGCTGAAGTCATCGACACACACAAAGAAGTAGCTTTTGCTCTAGCATGGCAGATTACTATTGTTAACTGTAGTTACATAAAAACCTGCATTCAGCTAATAATTGTCCGTGTGTTTTAAGCCAAACCTCACTCTGTTGCAGTTGCCTGTATATTAATCAAATTCCAAGCATGATGAGATAATCAACTTCACTTCCAATGTATTGGTGCAATCCAGCTGCTTTTCTTCAACTCATACACTTGAGATCTGGAGCTGGCACTCCTGCAGAAATCATTATATATGGTGTACCCTTTGCTGGCAAATGATCCTACCCATTCATTCGAGGTCTAAAATTTGTACCCCAGACCATGAGGACATTCCATCCTAACAGCCTATGGAGTAGAATGAGGACATCTCCCTCAATAAAAACGATCCTCCTCTCCTCTTCATGGCACTCTGTTAGAATTAAAACATTTCCACTCTTCAATGCCAGATGACATAACCTAAGGGACTGAGATTCTATAGTCCAAAAAAGTAGACTAACGTGTTTGTAGTCTGTTTGTTTGTTAATGAATTCTTTTTTTTCCCTGGCAACGTAAATCAGTGGGACTCCTTAAGATGTCGCTTGTGCATGCACTGCATGGAAAAAGTAAAAGGTAAAGGACCCCTGGACAGTTAAGTCCAGTCAAAGATGACTATGGGGTGCAGCATTCACCTCCGCTTTCAGGCTGAGGGAGCTGGCGTTTGTCTTTATTTTATTTATTTATTATTTTTTTAGAAGACTACTATAAAACTTTATTGATGCATAATTCACAAAGATGCTGTGGCTTGGCTTACTTCAGAGAAAATATAGGCACAATCTATAACACTAAGTGAAAGGATTCAGTCAACAGAAATTTAGGTTGCTTATATATAAAGGGGTAGATTGGAAGTCACAGGGGCTGAAATGTAAATCTCCTTCATCTGAGACACAGATGCAATAAAAATGCCCAACTGCCTTGGTAACATTAGGGACCACTGAGGAACGGCAGGGAAGACAGCAACCTCCAAATTGAGTTTTACATACTAGTTTCTGCAACAAATTTTAAGGACTAAGAACAAATGAGCTGCTTTCCAGTAAGATGGTAGTCGTTTTTTTAAAAAAGAATCCTTGCAGTCTCCAGCAAATGTACCATGGTGGAGATGGGATCACCTTTTCTGAAAGCCATACTTCTTTCGCTCATAGAAGAAATCTGTTTTTGAGCTGCCCAGATTGACGATCTTGGGACAGCCATCTCGATTTTTCACATGGTCGTCCAATAGCCACACCCGCCTGCTTGTGGCAGAAGATCAAATCCGGGTGGTTGTTGGCCATCCCTGAAACCCTTCGCCTCGCCCTGGTGTTTCTCTTTAGACAGCTTTCTGGGTCAAGAACTGGAGGAGGGAGAAGAGGTACTGTACTGAGATGTATTTATTCCATTTAATTAACTCATCTTAGGGCCACATTTGTGGGCCAGTTATCAATGGGGCTGGCTGAACCGCTTTCTCAGCATTCCAATGAGAACAAGGTTCTGGATTTCCTTTGAGACGAATGGCAGAATATAAATTTAATAAACAAATAAGATGACAAGTTTGCACTCAATCAATGGATTGGCTTGAAACTTGGCGGTGTAGGAAAAGAAGCTTTGTGGGTGGTATATGCCACACATGGGTTAGAAAATATTTTCAAAATTACTTCTTTGGAATGAGTTTAACATTTGATGAGAGATTTGGGCATGTTGACAGGTGCAGGGAGAAAAAGATTATGGGAAAGTTATCCATTTCGTACCATGCATTTTGGGAAATGGGTCGTAGTTAAAGGGGAAAAGCTAGTATTTACTTTTGCCCATCAGTTGTGTAACTCGTCGGAAGCTTTTATTTAAAAGGGATTTATTTATTTTTCTGGTGAATGTTAGTCAATGGACATGCTTATTCTGCTGTTGCTAAGCAATGGTTTCCAGGCAACGATCTGATAGACCAGGCCTCAGCCTCGTAATTTAGGTAGACCCAGAGATTAGAAGTTAGGCCTGAAAGGAGACAGAAAGGGGGGGGAACCCACAGCAGATGAATAAAAATAGTTTTTTATTCAGTAGGTGGATTTGTGACAGGAAGCTTCTGAAGGCACAGAAGAGCCTTCAGAAGCAAGCATGAGGGGAAGGGAAATTTGGGGGTGGCTGTGTGCACTTTAACCTATTGAATTTCCTCTTTTTCGTTGATGCCATTAAAGGCTAGGCTTGCCAACTGACTTGAAAGGCTTGCTCCTATGCATTTAACAATTATGCAACCTGCAGAAATCAGCTGGGATGATTATAGGGCATGGGAACCCCCTGCTTATGCCACCCGATCAACCCATAAAAGTTGGCAATCCTATGAAATACACATAAGCCTGCTTTGGGGGGAGGGGAATTGCAACCTTTATTTTTAACTTTACTTGACTTGCTTAGCCACTTAATAGGCATTCTGAGTTGAATGTGAATACGTGTGCTTCTAAATCATATGATTTCTTCTTTTTCAAGTATTTCCCCCCCTTTATTTCTGCATTGAATTTCAAACCCTACAGCTGGCAGGCGGTGGTGATACCAGTTTGGCATTGACTCTCATCAGAGCCTTTCAGTGCTGGTTCCCTGGTTGCAGAATGCCCTCCTTTCTGAGGTGTGTTTGTCTCCCCTATTATTTAACTATAAAGAAGGAATTTTAAAACATTTACCAAGTTTACCACGGCTGAAAGATACTGTTCCTGGCAACCTTGAAATCATTGGCTGAGAGAATGTGATTTTTCAAACTTAATAAACAAATTAGGGCCACATTTGTGGGCCTGTTGTATAATGTTTTTAATTATATTTTTATTGATGTGTTGGCTGCCCTGATAGCCTTTGGGCAGAATGGTGGTTAAGAAAGAAAGAAAGAAAGAAAGAAAGAAAGAAAGAAAGAAAGAAAGAAAGAAATAAATTTCAGTTTCCAAGGCATAGCCTTCTCAAAACACAATAAAATTCAATTAACTAACAAAAAATATTCCTGCTTAGCATGCTGTATTGAGGGTTTTCCATGTTCACTATAACATAAGTCATGTCCTTGGACTCAGCTACATTTGTAAAGATAAAACGCTTTATATGCGTTATAACACTGTGACACCAGATGACGTTGTGGAGTCTCGTTTTTCGCCAACAGGATTTCCCTATATGAAGTTTACAACACATTTAACGGATGTAAAACATAGATAAATGTAAAACATAGATAAAAACATCAGAGTGCAAATGTCTCTTGAAATAAACAGATGACAAATTTCATTCCCAAAACTCCAAACTGAAAAAATGAATTTTCATCCCATTTAGATATATGCATAACCAAGAAGAGAGAAGAATGAAACATGTAGAGGTGGAAACGCCATCTCTTGTATAACATCCAGTTCAGCCTTTGACCAGCTTCTAAATAAAGCCAAATGACTAGTACTAGAAATGTTGTTGATACCCAGTGTTGGACATCAAAAAGACATGAGGGTGGAGATGGAATACATCTGGAGCTTGTGCATGATTCCTGGACGGACATATGTGAGTAATGTCTTTCCACATCTGTTCCTCAGCAAATAAAATGCTAGAGAGCATGGAAACGCTGTCAGCCCTTTAAAAATTCATGGGTCTATTTTCTGTCTGGAAGAGGATGCAGTTCACACAATTGCAGGCTTAGTATTTCTGTGCCAGTTCGTTTATATTTGCTTGTGTTTCATAGATGCATTTTTTAATAGTTACTGACACTCTGTGCATCTATTTAATAATGCATTTACAACTACCGGTTGATTACATTCTGTAGCCTAGGGTAGGCAATGGAATTAAAATGGTTTTAAAATGCAGTAAAACTGCTGTTATAACTTTGAATGAACCTTTTTATGAGTCTCATAACTATGTATTCCTGGGTCTGTTGTATCTCACCATCTTCCTTTCCCCCCTCTTTGTCACTCAACATTTATAATCCTATTCTATGTATATGATACTCTTCCTGGTTAACAAAAGAAATAAAATCAATCCAGATTGTTGAAAATGAGTATGTCGTCCTTTGGGCTTCTTAGTGCCTTAAGGTGGCGTGTTAATTTCTCCCATTATTGCAGAGTTCCAAAGCTTGCAGACCCTCCAAGTGTCCCTACTTCCCAGGGACAGTCCCGGATTTACAAAGGCCATCCTGGTTTCTGATTTGATCCCGGAATGTCCCACTTTTCCTTAGGATGCCCCTATTTTCATCAAAGAAATGTCGGAGGGTATGAGGTTGGCAGACCTGTTCTGAATATTCCGTCTTGAAGCAGTTTTCCTCAAAAGGCATTTGGGAGCAGGGCTTAACTGGTGCCACTAACAGCAATTAAGGTTGCCATACGTCTGGAATTTCCTGGACATACAGTGGTGCCTCGCAAGACGAAATTAATTCGTTCCGCGAGTTTTGTCGTCTTGTGATTTTTTTCGTCTTGCAAAGCACGGTGTTGGGAAAGTTTTGGAAAAGCTTCAAAAATCACCAAAGTCTTTAAAAACCTCAAAAAAAGGCTACCACACCGCGTTCTATGAGTTGCTCCTCGAAGTCAAGTCGCAACTTGACTTTTAAGTTGTAATCATTCTTCTTGTTTTTATTATTGCTTGTAAGGCGCTCTGAGCCCAGCCTTGGCTGGGGAGGGTGGGGTATAAATAAAAAATTATTATTATTATTATTAACTGTATTAACGGTGTTAAGAAAAAGGAAACAAACTTGCAAGACGTTTCCGTCTTGCGAAGCAAGCCCATAGGGAAAATCGTCTTGCGAAGCAGCTCAAAAAACAAAAAATCCTTTCGTCTAGCGAGTTTTTTGTCTTGCGAGGCATTCGTCTTGCGAGGTACCACTGTACCTGGAATCCTGCAGTCGGAAGTAGAGAACCAGAACCAGAAATAAAGAAAAAGCTCAACAACCACAATCTCTCTCAGAATTCCCCATCCTGAGGGTCTGTTTATAAGAACAGCTGAATGAAGTTGTAAAGATTTTCATTTTCTTTGAAAAAACAAAAATAGCTTACTGGCACTGAAAAACAACATGTTGGAGAGAAGCCTATATAGATCTTCTCTCCCAAATTAAGCTAATAGTTCCATACAATTTTACCAATAGGAATAGATTTTTAAAAATGTTTTATTCCCTATTTTCCATTTTTTGTGTGCATTAAGTTTGGTTTTCTAGCCAAGTATTTTTATTTATATATCCAACAAAATTCTTCCTTGAAAAGATTGCTTAGTGTTAATTAAAAGAATTTTCTCAGTGAGCAATGTTCTGAAAGTAAGCAGAACAATTTGGTATGACTCATGGTTTTGGTGGGAAGGACTGATTGGGCTCTTCACTATTTCAGGTGTGTGAATGGCTATGAATAGCATTAGAGGAAGTCTGGATGGGTAGCTGTATTACTCTATTGTAGCAAACACATGAAAAAAATAGTCTCATGGCACCTTTAAGGCTAAAACAGGGTTTATGGCGAAACAGAAAAGGTAGTCTCAAACACTGGGAGGTCTTTAATCATTTAATGCATTGGGGGGCCATTTGGATAAAACAAAACAAAACAAAAACAAAACAGTTTTGTCCAGAGAAATGAGAGGGGATAAGTTCCTCTCTCCCTTAAAAACTTGGGACCAGTTTACCTATGAGATTATTCTCTGTGTAAGCATAGTAAGTATTTATGGCATCCTTTTGCACACATGACACTTTCATGGCTGTTTAGTTGCCCCAAGAGAAAAGTGGCTTGAACTGCTGCTGTCGTTATTTATGTGGAAAACAGGTATGATTGCTCTTTCTACATGGAAAAAGTCTCCGTTATGCATGCTTTTTTTCTCCACAGATGGAATATTTTCAGGCCTCACTTTGACAATTTTATGCGTTTGCAGCATAAAATGCCCATAACACTTTCCTGCAAAGAGAAGAGAGCCATATTTTTGCTGAGAATGATTTTTCAGCAACAAAAATTGCCACGATTAGTCTATTGCCAATATAATCAGACACATCTTCCTACAGCCAGGAAAGTTATCATTACCTTCCCAAAACAGTGAATGAATTGTCAAGTGGCTTCAGGAATTACTCTGCATAAATCTAAAGGGCTGCTACTAAACAAAGTGTGTCTGACACATTGTGAAAAGATACCTGTAGCAGGTAGTTATTAAAAAGCAGAAACAGCAATAAAAAGTCAAGACTATAAAAATTTTGTTGGCAACTTATCAGCGGTTTGACATGGATAGATGAAGTGAAATACCCAAGAGTTACAAAGGAGCATAAGATATATTACTGAAGTGAGAATTCAGAAGGAAGCTGGGTTATAGAGCATTAACAAAATTGGGGAGGGGGGTTGACATCATCTGTTTAATATGGTGGCTTAGCCCAGGGCTTGTCATTCAACTGCTAGCCAATGGCCATGATAATTACTATATACCAAAATACAAACTTAATAGTAAAGGTAAAGGTACCCCTGACCGTCAGGTCCAGTCACAGACAACTCTGGAGTTGCACGCTCATCTCTCTCTATAGGCCAAGGGAGCTGGTGTTTGTCTGCAGACAGCTTCTGAGTCATGTGGCCAGCGTGACTAAGCTGCTTCTGGCGAACCAAAGCAGCGCACAGAAACACCGTTTTCCTTCCCGCCGGAGCGGTACCTATTTATCTACTTGAACTTTGACGTGCTTTCAGACTGCTAGGTGGGCAGGAGCTGGGACCGAGCAAGGGAGCTCACCCCATCGCGGGGATTCGAACCGCCGAAAACCTTCTGATCAGCAGGCCCTAGGTTCTGTGGTTTAGACCACAGTGCCAGCCGTGTCCCAAATAGTAGCAAACATCAAATGATATAAGGAAGAGGAAAAAAATCAGAACCATCAGTTAACTCAACTTCAGATTAAACCTCCAAATCTCCGAAACCATTTGTAGCAGTATAATCCAACTCTCTAGTCTGTTTTATGGCTTCTTCAGCTGTTGTACAGCCGAAAGAGCCAGTGTTATGTGTCACAAAACCATTAGTTTCACTCAAGAGAAGTTGAACGATTTCTGCCAGGGCGGTCCTGCTGCCATATGTCAACAAGGGTTTCAGAAATCTCTCCAAATACATAAATGAACAAGTTTGTTCTATAATTTGCTGATCTGAACTCCATTTATACATTGGGCTGTGTCTGACAAAACTCACAATCATAGTTTTGGAATTATAGATAGACTTTCCGGTTTGCAGATACACTAAATGGATCAAAAATATTTTTAAGCCCCAAGCGGGGAAGAGATATAAGTACCAAATCATCTGCGTACATCAAGATAATATTTCTGTTCCTGATTAGTGATGAATGAGAGTTTAATAAAGGTAACTGTGGTAACTAATAAGCATCCTTGTTTCACTCTTCACACTGTTTCAAAGGCTTCTCCCATACCACCTTATAAACCAACTCTAACCCACATTTCTATATTACTGTATAATTTTTGTATTACCAAAAGTCTGTGGCCAATGCTGGAGTTTTGTAGTTTCGCCCACAATCTATGTTGATTCATATGGTCAAAAGCCATGGAGAGATCAATAAAGGCTACAAAAAGGTTATTCTTAGTGTTCTTACTATAGTATCTTATGATTCAAAGTAAAATGTTCGTCAATAGTGCCATATTCTCTTCTAAATCCTGCTCGTTCTTCATGAATAATGTCATTAGTTTGCATCCAGTCTAATAAAGAGAATACCGGGCATATAGCTTCAAAGAACTATCTAGCAGACTAATTGGCTGGTAGTTTTGTGGGGCATTCCTATCCTCTTTCTCATAAATCAGAAGGATGATACTCATTTTCCACTGAGGCAGCATGTCTTACACTGTTTATTGTGGTAAACAAGCCAGCCAGAATTGGCATCCACCATGGTGAATATTCTTTGTAAAGCTCTGGAGGAAACAGGTCTTCCTTGGGAGCTTATGGGATTTCAGGCAAGAGTCTTTTATTTTATTGCCAAGAGACTGGATGCTCTTCTGGTAAATTTGAGAAATCCTGACACCCTCCCAACTCATGCCTAGATTGGTGCCTAGATTAGCCACCAAATATATTAGAGAAATAATCTAGAGGCAGGAATTGAAGCTTCCAGCACTGATCTCACTTCTTTTAAAGGAGTTCCCAGAATTTGTCTTCCTTCTGTTATATTACTACAAGATCTGAATCGTGCCACTGGGTTTTAATGTATTCGTCTTAAGCAATCTTTTATATTCCATCTTAATTTTAATTACTTTTTCTGCAGATTCCTTAGTTGGTTTCTAAACGCGATTACTTTCCTAACCAGATATTTCTTAGTCACTTTGCATTCAGCATGAAACCAGCATTGGCATTTTGACTATTTGTGGGCAAAATGGAGCAGGGCCTGAGCTCTGAAAGAATTTGCTGGAAAACATTTACATGGTTCGGATATTTATCCAAAAACAATTGGCACAACTTAGTCAGAAAAAATGCCACATGGTTTCTCTTGAATGTCACTACTCAGTATGAAAGTCCATTTCAATCTATTCACACCCAGCAATTCTCCAGTCAAGTTTACCATTTCATTTAGTAATGCATATTCAATTAGTGGACATGGGGTCATATTGGAAAATGATAATTTTCAGTTCTTTCTAACACTTCAAAAGCATTAGCTAGCAGAAATAATGATGAGGCTATTATCTGGTCAATAGCGCTACCTCCACATTTGTTCAGTTACGTATGATGTCCATTAGAAAAGTCTACATGGCTGCCATGAAGAATATAAAAAGTTATACCCTCCAACATTTCTCCTGTGAAAATAGGGGTGTCCTATATAAT